AATGTCATACACGAATGTAGTCACAATATAACCATCAAAATCAGGAAAATAACTTTGATGCATTACTGTCATCTAATCTCAGATCCCATTCCACAATGTCCTTTTAGAAAAAGGATCCACTCCAGAATCCTACTTGTCATGTAGTTTGTCTCTTTTGTTTCCTTCAGTCTGGAAGTTTCCTAGTCTTTCCTTGACTCTCATGAAGTTGACACTTCAGAAAACTACAGGCCAGTTATTTATTTATTTATTTTAATATATCTTATTGATTTTTTACAGAGAGGAGGAGAGAGGGATAGAGAGCTAGAAACATCGATGAGAGAGAAACATCGACCAGCTGCCTCTTGCACACCCCCTACCGGGGATGTGCCTACAACCAATGCACATGCCCTTGACTGGAATCGAACTTGGGACCTTTCAGTCTGCAGACCGACACTCTACCACTGAGCCAAACCAGTTTCGGCCAGGCCAGTTATTTTGTTGAATGCACCTCAATTTGATTTGATAATTGATAACTCATGATTAGTTTCAGGCTGTGATTTGGCCTGGGGGGGGGGGGCGGAAACGGGGGTGATATTGTGTTCTCACCCATCCTGTTAGGTGGAATACGATTTGATTTGTTCCTATACAGGTAATGTTAACTTTAATTACTTAAGATAGTGTCTGCCAGGCTTCCCATTGAATTCTTTTATTTTTATAATTAGCTAGAGGCCCAGTGCATGAAATTCATGCATGGGGTGAGGGTCTCTCAGCCAGACCTGCACCATCCGAAATCTTGGACCCCTGAGGGGATATCCAACTGCCGGTTTTGGCCTGATCCTGAAGGGACCCCTGTGGGATCAGGCCTAAACCAGCAGTGGGACATCCCTCTTGTAATCTGGGACTGCTGGCTCCTAACCACTCACCTGCCTGCCTGATTTCCCCTAACTCCTCTGTCTGCCTGCCTGCCTGATCATCCCTAACCTCTCGCCTGCCTACTTAATTGCCCCTACCCACTTTGCCTGCCTGCCTCTGCCTCGCCCCTGCCACTGTGGTTTCGCCCAGCAGGATGTCTGGAATGACATCCAGAAGGTCATTAAGCTGTCCAGTCTAATTAGTATATTATATTTTTATTATTATAGATTTGTATTTTGAAGGGATTGCTCTGAGACTGTGCAAATATCTTGTTTCTCCTCTAACTTTCAAAACATTTTTTTTTACAGGTTCGTATTCAGTGGATTATAATCCATTATTATAATTTATTTCAATGCTCAAATTGTCCCATACTTAGCCAGTGAGGTCCTTTCAAGCTGGCTTGTGTCCTTTTGACATGTTACCCTAATTCTTGGAAAACTTTCTTCCCTTCTGGAGTAAGATATTTCAGTATCATCTTACACTTTCTCTGCCACAGTCACTTCTCCAAGAGGCTCTGATTCCTTTTAGTGAAGAATGCATTTAGAAACCAAGATCTAGGCACTAGGCTATGCTCATTGCTATTGGGGTGTCTGATACCAAGTCCCTTTACTGGACAGAACTCAAGTTTTCGTGTATGTATACACACACATTTGCATCTATAATTATTTCTCTACCATGAAAACAATGAATTCACACCATTATCTCCAATTCTAACACCAAACTGTAAAGCTCACTCTAGTTTGTTCTCTCTGGAATCCATGAAAAAACGTATCCTTAGGTGAGGATTAAAAACAAGAAAAAACCCTAGCATCCCACCCATCAGAATGCCTAAATTAAAAGACAAGATGACAAAAGATAAACAATTAACAGGTATAAGCAAGAATGTGGAGCAACTGCAACTCTCATATATTTTGAGTATATTTTGGTACTATTTCTCACAGTATCCATTAAAGCTGATATATATCCTATAGATCAGCAATCCCATTCCTAGGTATTACCCAATCAAAATATACATATGTACATACTAAAAGACAAGTATAAGAATGTTCCTAAAAGTATTATTCATAATAACCCCAAGCAGAAAATAAACTCCATCAACAGTAAATGGATAAATACTATATTATCTAGAAAAAAAAATCTATGGTGTTAAAAGTCAAGGGCGGAGGCATAGGCTGGGAATGGGTTTGAGGTCTTTTGTGTAAATCAATTAGACTATATATTCATGATACATGCACTTTCTTTTTTTTTTTTTTTAAATATATTTTATTGATTTTATACAGAGAGGAAGGGAGAGAGATAGAGAGCTAGAAACATCGATGAGAGAGAGTCATCGATCAGCTGCCTCTTGCACACCCCCTACTGGGGATATGCCCGCAACCAAGGTACATGCCTTTGACCGGAATCGAACCCGGGACCTTTCAGTCCCCAAGCCGACGCTCTATCCATTGAGCCAAACCGGTCCCGGCTACATGCACTTTCTTTATGCATGCATGCTATACTACAATTTTTTAGAAAATCGTCACCAAATATTTTCCCCATTGTTTTCAAGAGAGTAGAAGGGAAAAAGGGAAGTGGCAGGGGGAGAGAGAAACATGGATGTGAGAAAGACATCCATCCATTGCCTCCTGCACAAGCCCCAACTGAAGCCAGGAATCTAGGTGCATCAGCTGATGCTCTAACTGCTGAACCACATCTACTAGGGCTATACTCCAATTTTTAAAAGATTAAGAATTTCTGTAACTTGACATAGACTTACCATATGTGGAATCTTATTCTGAGATAAAGTTTTTGGCTATAGTAGCAAGAATCCAATTCAAACTGGCCCAAGGAAAAGTATTGGTTTAAATACCTAATATATATACACATACATGCCTCACTAAAACCAAAGATTCAAAAACAATCAGTAGGTCTTATTTCTTGCTCTTATTTCTGCTTTCTTTGGTTGGTTCTGTCAGGCAGTCAGTCTCTCATTCTTTGCAACTCATCTTCACTATCAGTAATGCTAGTGGAAAACATCTTTTTAAGTTCTGACAAATCTCAGAATTGGCCTAGCTTGAGTCACTTACTTGGAGCCTATTCAGCCCCATTTGATCACTAGACTGAGTAGTGAAGGGTACTTTCCCAAGGGAAAATCCAGGCACTGTTCCCAGAAAAGGTGTGAATGAATGTGAAAGGCAAAAACATCTATGTATCTGGGGAAGGAGAAAGAAGAAACCCTTAATTTGTTGCTTCTCCCTGAATTATGTCAAACTTAGTTACTGGGATGTAGCCTAAGGTCCCCTGGCCTAGCGCCAGGATGCAAAGCCTGAGGTCCCCCAGCTGGGCTGGGGCAGGGGGGCACACCTTGAGGCCCTCTGTCAAGCCCCACCCGGTGGGTGGGTGCACCTTGACATCCTGTCAAACCCTGTTGGGTGGAGAAGCATATCCTGAGGTCCCATCAAGCCTACTGGGCAGGGGGCACAGCCTCAGGTCCTGTACCCTGGCCCAGCACCATGCAGCCTTAGGTCCTTGCTGATTGCTTGTTATAGGAACTCAGCCTCCGCTGTGGGTACAAACATCTTGTGTTACAGAAACCCTGCCTCCGAAGGTTGTGGGTTATTGTTAAGCTGATTAACAGAAACCCTGCCTCTGCTGGAGTGCCACCATTTTGTGATGGTGTGATGGTAAATTTGCATATTCCTCTCTTTATTAGATAGGATTCTTACAATAAAGCTAGGGAAAGAATATCATAAAGAGGGGAAAATACATTTACAGCAATTATCGAAAAAAAATTTGTATATAATCAGACTCACACAATTCAAACCTGTGTTGTCTAAGGGTGAACTCTAATATAGCTTTTGCCAGCTACTTTGTGAATTTTGTAACTTACTGTGAAAGGCAAATCAACAGCTTACCAGATCCCTCAGGCTACAGTCTCTCCCTCTTAGACTTGTATACTATGGTTAAATTAATCTTTCCAACATATGACTGTAGTTTTAACAACCCTAACAAAGGAACCAAATTTTCTTTCAAGGCTGAAGATTTTTAGCCTATTACTCATGGTCTTCAATGATCTCACCCAAACTTTTTAATAGTTATATTATACTATAACCCTCTTTGCATGTTCATCAAAGGATATTTTTCCATTGATTTTTAGAGGGTAGAAGGCAGAATAAGAAGAGAGGGAGAGAGAAAAACATCTCTGTGGGAAACATTGATCAGTTGTCTCCCTTAGTGCCCTGACTGGGATTGAACCCACCACCTTTTGGTGTATGGCAAGACGTTCCAACCAACGGAGCCACCCAGCCAGGGCAAACATCACTTTCTTAATGGGAAGAACCATTAGAAAACTATTTTCTCTAAACCATTCATCCTTTTCCATGAATAAATTATAATATTTTAACTTTAAATGGTAAATTTCAAAGATAGCATAGAGATTTCAGATTTATTTTAATACATAAATGAAAGTTGTAATAAGCTGTATTATATACTTTAGAGCATATAAAACAACACATTCATAAATAGACCACCTAGATCTTTAGCTAATATAATTTGGACTAAATGTCTCCATCTTCTCATACTTTGCTAAAATTGATTTATATACACAACCAATTTACTAATTTGTGAAGTCACAGTATTCATGAAAGCAATTTTTAACAATGGGGGAAGTACAAACATATCACCATTTTTATTTTCATTTAAACGAAATATGCTTGAACAAGATATAGAACTGTCCATATTTTATACTTTAATACAAATTTCAAAACAAAGTATAACAATAGTCTCTATGTTCAAATCCACTTAATTTTATAGGAAACACAGTATTTATAAAATGAACAGCTCCTGCAACAAAACCAACGTTAGGAGAGTTGTTTAAATTATCTTTTAATCATTATTGTGGAGCCAATTTTCTTCATAAAGTATCTACCAGGATGGGACTTAGCACACTCTTTAGGCTGCTTAAATACAACCAAGAATGTGGTATTAATATGTAAACATTATATACTGACTCAGTCAAGCATTTAAGATAAAAAGACCGACTTTTGACTTCACCCTAAACAAATAATGAATTTTGAAAATGTATTTTACCATTAACACTCTTTCATGTGTTCACACAGCATGTTCCACAGTCAATCATCTTCTTTCTCAATATATGTCTTTGCATTAACCCGTGCCATTTGCCTGGCCAAGTACCTGTCTCTAGCTGACATTACAGTTTCTTCATTGTTCCGTTTTGCAAACTTGTTCCCAGTCTCGTGTGGTCTCTCTTGTTCTTTGCCCACCTCTTGGCATTCCTCTGTGATTCTGTGTTTTGCTCCCAGGGGTGTTTCAGAACTAGAGAGTTCCTCTGGGTTACTTTCTTTATCCTTTTCCACGTTTCTCATTTCATTGGATCTCTCCTGGTCAAGAAACCTATCCTTTGTCCTAGAATTCGGGCTGTTTTCCTTTCTGTCTCGCTTTCTTTCTGAAGATTGAACACTCATTTCTCGTTTTTCTCTATCTCTGTTTTCATATTTTTCTTTCCTTGCTTTCGTATGTTCTTCCTTTTCTTTGCCTTTCTCTTCCTTTTCTACTCCTTTTTCACTGTGTCGGTCACGATCATTTCGTTGTCTATCTCTTTCTTGTTCTCTTGTGGGATATTTCTGTCTGTCTTTCTCCCTTTTCCATTCTCTGTCATTTCTTTCTCTTTGGTCTCTTCCCCTCAGCTTATCTTCTTGTTCATGTCTCTTCCAGTGGGAATCTCTATGCCTATGGGAATCTTTCTTTTCTTTTTGGTAATCATGGTTAGTATAATAGTTCTCCTTGTTCCTGAATTGTCTCTCTTGGTGCTGATCTTCCCGTTTCTCATGTCCTCTTGACTTGGAACTTTTTGTGTGGCTTTTGATACCATGTTCTCTTTCTTCACTAGATGACCGTGAGTGGGTTTGACTCCTGTGATGCCTGGAGTCATTCTTAGAGGTCTCGATGCTCTTTTCCCTTCTGCAGTTCACTTTATTATTTTCTTCCAGTTCATCATCTTCACTGTTGTTAGCATCAAAGTCACTGTCTGCATCTGGGTTTTCCTCTACTTTAACAACAGTTTGGAGAATGCATTTCTCAGGTGGTTTTCTGTTCTCTGAAGTTACTTCATCAGAATAACCCCTTGGTTTCTCTTCCTTTATTCCAGACCTAAAAAAAAATAATATAACACTAAATGCCAATTATCATTTATAGTAAGTAAATGAAGTATTCATATAATTTTTCTCAATATTTAAATCAATAAAACTATAATTATATATGCATATTGATTATCCAAATGTAAAAAGGTGCTGATGTCTATTTACCTTGTAAACACCTGCAAATTAGCATTTTTTAACCATTTAGAATATTTTCAATATAATAGAAGTGAAAGATAAGCCCTTTGTAATGGACCACTAGAGTCTTTAGGCAGGGATCTGTACAAGGTCTTCATTTATGCTAAGCATAGACAAAGAATAATTGGGAAAAGAAAGATATATTCTGGATTTTAATATTTTTATAATATGAAGTTTAAGTTATGGCTCTTTGTTGGATTTTATTTTTATTTCTATAAAAATTAAGAAGAGCCCTGGAAGCAGATGAAGATAAATTTTTTTTACAGCAAAATGGTGGCAAAATCTAATTCAAAATATCACTAAATAAACCCTTTTTTGATTAAAAAGGCACCAGCATCTTGAAATACTCCTGGGAACTTATCACAACAAAATGAAAATATGCGAATCCATCCAACCATTACAAACAGCAACACTAGAATAGTTTTTATCATCTAAATTTTCCAGTTGATAAGCATGGTTAATTTACTTATGTTACACATTCATTCATTATCACTTACTAATCATACTAATAGAGCAACAACTATGGTTCTTGGTTAAAGTATTCACCAATAATTAGGAATTCTATTAGACTCTGAGAAGTGTAACTATTAAGTGATATTATGGAGTTTCACGGCTGGCCTCACAACTATTTCAGATGAAATTCTAATAACAGGAATACTAAATCTCAATCTTCAAATACACCTTAGACTCATAAATCTCATCAATTTTTAAATCAAAACCCAGCAGTTGCAGGGTGGGAAGTATAAACCTAATCCCCTCTCTTAATCCTTAATTCCATTCTCTTGCATCTCTCCTTTCATTAGCAACATAAGACTCAGATCCTCTTATCTGAATGTTTCTGTTCCCAAAAAGTTAATTTAAATATAAGTTTAGGACTAATTCTCCCTTTTACCTTCAGCTATATTCTTATGGCATGAACATTTTAGCATTATATAATCCTATATAATAAAAGGATGATATGCAAATTATCTCCTCAGGAGTTCAACCACTTGTTAAGAAGTGTGCTGACGGCCAGGGAGCGTCGCGAAACAAAGGAAGGCCCCAGCCGGCAGCCAGGGGAAGAAAGGCCCCTGATCACCGGCCAGGCCTAGGGACCCTACCCGTGAACAATTTCATGCATTGGGTCTCTAGTACTTTATAATTTCATTCAAAAAAATCCTCTAACTCTTATTTTCTAGAGCAGAATAGAAATGTCTACATAAATGGTAATGTCCACATCTGTATTAATATGGCAGCCACTAGTCAAATGTGGCAACTGAGTACTTGAATGTGGCCAAAGTTTTAAATGTAATATTAAACAACCACACAAGACTAGTGGCTATGTATTGGATAGTACATTTCTAGCCATTAAAATGTGAATTTTACATTTTATGGAGGCTAGGTCCTACTTATAAAAGTAAACCACATTTCTTTTTATATACTACCTAAACATGTAAGTAGAATTATTGCAGAATCAAGACAATGTTTAACCAAATATCTGCAGGTTTTAAATTAAGAAACTGTAAAATCCTAGCCATTCATTTAATTAGGTCAGGTTTGGCTGACAAAAGAATATGCAGCCCAACCAGCATGGTTCAGTGGTTGAACATCAACCTAGGAAGCAGCAGTCTATGGTTTGATTCCTGGTTGGGGCACATGCCCAGGCTTTAGAGGTGATGCCCAGTTGGGGGTGTACAGGAGGCAGCCAATCAATGATTCTCTTTCATCACTGATGTTTCTATCTTTCTCTCCCTCACTGAATCAATAAAAATATTTTTAAAAAAGAACAAAACAATATGCAATGCTGCAATTCTTATGTTTCAGAGGGTTAAAATGATCCACAACCATATATCATTAACAGTATCTTTCTTTTAAATATTCTATATGCCATGTCTCACCTAGCTTCACGAAAGCTGCACGTAGGGGCTTCTTCTTCACCAACTGCTTGATTTAATAGATGCCTATAAAATCCACTGAGATCTTTCTGCTTGGTTACATCCAAACGTGCTAAGAGAGAGAAAGCACAAGTGAGAATACAGGCAACAAGGCAAAAATGCAACTCAGTTTTATAGACATACAGTACATAACACATACTGTGTGTAAACTATTCTCTACATCAAGAGTTGGGAAATTAGCGCAGCCAACGTGGGTCCATGGTTGAGCATTAACCTATAATCAAGGGGTCGTGGTTCAATTCCTGGCCAGGGCACATGCCCAGGTTTCAGGATTGATCTCCAGGAAGGGGGGTGCATGACTTAGCCGATCAATGATTCTCTTTCATCATTGATGTTTCTCTCTTTTCCTCTCTGAAACCAATAAAAATATATTTAAAAAAAAAGTTGGAAAACTATAACCTATAGGCCAAAGCTGCCTACTTTTGTGAATACATTTTTTATTGAAATGTAGCCCTGTTCATTTGTTTATTGTCTAGGGCTGCTTTTGTGTTACAAAGGCAGAATTGAGTAGTTGGTACACAAAGCCTAAAATGTTCATAATCTGGTGCTTTAGGGAAAGATTGCTAACTGTTGCTCTAGATCTGTGGTTGGCAAACTGTGGCTCATGAGCCACATATGGCTCTTTGGCCCCTTGAGTGTGGCTCTTCCACAAAATACCATGGCCTGGGCGAGTTTATTTTGAAGAAGTGGCATTAGAAGAAATTTAAATTTAAAAAAGAAGTTTGAATTTAAATTCAAAAGAAATTTTAACCATTGTCCTGTTTGGCTCTGTGGACTAATGAGTGTGCCGACCACTGCCCTAGATGAACATACAGTATATGCACAGACCAGGTCTTAGAGATTTACTTTTCTTCCACTTAAAGTTGATGAGCACTTGCCAAATAAGGTATTTATAAGTACATATTTCACTCAAACCTTGAAAAATAACCATGAGTAGAAAACACTGAAGAAGAGCATTACTTCTTTTACACATCTTTGTTTTTTCTTGAATTAATGTTATTCTTTTTCTAAATGCCCAGATGATGCTCCTTGGGTACTGTTACTCTCGTTTTCTCATCACAGAAAATATAACTACGATTTAAAACTCAGTTTACACTGCTTTTGTAAATGTCGTGGTATTATACCTTGTAATCAATGTTTTTGCATTTAGAATCATTTTCCAAAGCAATGACTTATAATTACTATAGTTTTAAACAAAACGTCTAGTATAAGTACCAGTTGGTTAAAGTGCAATTATATTTAGTAAAAATATCCTGTTTTATGATCATACAACATATTATAACTGTACCTTCAATTCTTATACATAAATTATGAAAACATTATAATCTGAAAGTTCAGTGACAGAACAAATGGCTAACCACAGCGCAGAATTCTGCTGCTTGCTTCCTTCCACCCTCTCCCTCTTTCATTTCACCTTCGAGTGCAGCGGCCCTCTTTTCTCTTTCCTCCTCTTCGGCTCTCTCTTGCAGTTTTTTCTTATAAGCAGATGTCACAAATGCCTCTTTATCATCAAATTCTCCCTTTTCCATTTCTCGTTCTCTCTGTATTTTCTTTTCCATTCTTTTTTCCTGTTCCTTTTTTCTGATTTCAACTGCTTTTAGTAAGTTGTGAATATATTTGGGCTAGGGGGAGAAAAAAGATTATTTAGGAAAAAGTAAAAAATAATTGTCAATACTCTTATTTTTTTTTTTTATCACGAATTCATTAAAAATAATGAATAGTTCAAATAGGCTTATCACCATTCCAAAAATCAATCTAAATTTATTAACAAGATTGAAATGAAAATTCTTTTCAATAAATGTAAGATGAAAAATATTTATAGCGCTATTTTATCATTTAAAAAAAAAAATCTAAAACGAAGTAAATGATTTTCCCACCATTGTTTCTGTCACCCTTTTTACTGGTACTGTTTTAATATTTCTTCAACAGATACATGAACCAGAAAGGTTCCTATTAGCTTTTCACATTAGTTGTAATACAATTATTTAAAATAGTAGCTTTCACATAATTTTACACCACCACTTCATTTGTAGATTCTGTAAGGTGCAAAGATCCTTAGAAATCAGTCTGAGCTTATGAAAGAAAATATGAACTTATTTTAATCCCACCTTTATTTTTTCCCCCCAAAATAAAAATCTGATCATGATCCGTGTAGATGATTCAGTTATGAGGTAGGAAGCAATGAAAAATGAGAGGATGATAAAATACAAGTAAACATGAACAGAGGCAGAACAAAAACTTTCTAAGAAAAATATTTCAAAAAATTATTTGCAGAGGTTTAAAAGCAAAAATGAAAATTTATAAAATTGTTAGGTATTTCACTTGTTCCTGTTGGAATAATAAGTGTAGGGCTTCTGGGTTCTAAATCAAATCTATAATATCTGAAGTAGGGGCACTTCACACTTCAAATGCTTAAAAGCTTTTTCTCAGATCATCTTCATGCTGAAATAAGATTAAGATATGCAATGCAGGTCAAGGTCAAAGAAAGTTTGTATTTTCAGCTACAAACCTTTCGGTCTTTTCCCAAAAGCAATTTAGGATTATTTTCTTCCTTTTTTTTCTGCATTTCATCATAAATACTGTCATATTCATATACAGTAGAATCTTCTGCAAGTGCCTTCTGGATTTCCAGTTTGGTCTTCAAAAGAAAAAAATTAAACATGTTTAAAAATGTGAACTAGGTAGCTAAGAGCACAAAAAAGTAGAAGCAATTTTCTTGAGACAGAATCAGAAATCAAGAAATATATCAAAAAATTCTATAATCACATTTTATGACAAAATATATGAATATCAATTCTGGAGCCTGGCTGCCTGAATTAGAATCTTGGCTCTATACTTACTGAGCTGTGTTTTTTTCCTTTAAGATTCCGGAAATCTATGTAATCAAGAAACAACTATATATATATAAAAGCCTAAGTGACTGAAAGACTAACTGGTTAACTGGTGGCTATGATATGCACTGACCACCAGTGGGCAGATGCTCATTGCAAGAGGTGCCCCCTGGTGGTCAGCGTGATTCCACAGCATATCAACCCCGAGGTTCCCCCACTCTCTTGGGGAAACCTGTTAGGTTGAGGGATACCACCTATGCATGAATTTGTGCACTGGCCTCTAGTTCTAACATATTTTCAAAAAACAGTTTGGCCTCGTATCTCTGTGGTTGAACATTTACCTATGAACCAGGAGGTAGCATTTCAATTCCCGGTCAGGACACATGCCTGGGTTGCAGGTTGATCCCCAGTCTGGGGCATAGAGACGACAGTCAATAGCCAATTGATGATTCTTTCCCATCATTGTTTCTATCTCCCTCTATCCCTCTCCCTTCCTCTCAGAAATCACTAAAAAAGTATGAAGAAAAAAAACAACAACAAAAAAATGAAGGTCAAGTTAAATTTTTTAATAATTTTTTTATTCATTTCAGAGAGGGAGAAGGAGATAGAAATATCAATGATGGGAGAGAATCATCGATTGACTGCCTCCTGCATGCTCCCAGTGGGGACTGAGACCACAACCTAAGCATGTGCCCTTGACTGGAATTAAACCTGGAGCCCTCCAGTCCACAGGCTGACACTCTATTCACTGAGCCAAACCAACTAGGGCTAAATTATTTCTTTATACATGCCTATTCTGTTTTGTCTCAGCACTTAGATACCAAAACTGATACTTAAAAATGTGAGCTGAAATACTTCACCGACCACTCTTTGACCTTACCTGTTTCATTGCTTGCTTTTTAGCAGCTTCCCTCTGAAGGCTTTCACTCACGGAGGTCTAGAACACAGAAAAATGCTGTCATTGTTTAATACTTCTTTTCAAAAATTCTGGTTGGCAACTGGTTCCTTACTTAACTTTAAAAATACAAAGGCAATATTATGAACTGACATTATCAAGGCCTTTCTCCCACACTTTTGGAAACAAATGAATTTTCATTGTAACTTATCAGATTAGGCTATATGGGGTATGAAACAGAATAGTACAGGACAAATGAGGTAACAGATTTTTTAGTCCCAACTGCAACTTCACCATCAAGTCAGTCAACTTCTATGGATTTCAATTTGCTTTGTGTGTTCACGTGAATGTGTGTGTGCACATATTAGGTAAGGGTGGATTGGTCCCTTCCAACACTAAAATGGTATCATCCCAGCAATTAAAAGCACATCATTTTATTTATTTATTTATTTATTTATTTAAATATATTTTATTGATTTTTGTACAGAGAGGAAGGGAGAGAGATAGAGAGTTAGAAACATCGATGAGAGAGAGTCATCGATCAGCTGCCTCTTGCACACCTCCTACTGGGGATATGCCCACAACCAAGGTACATGCCCTTGACCGGAATCGAGCTCGGGACCTTTCAGTCCCCAAGCCGACGCTCTATCCATTGAGCCAAACCGGCCTCGGCTAAAAGCACATCATTTTAATATTCACCATTAAATATAGTATATCAAGTTTTTAGTATATATTTAAGATTTATGGGCAGCCAAAACTGAGATTATAATCATTCAATGAATATGTACTGAAACGCCTACCATATCTGGTATTGTTATAGCTCCTGAAGATATAAAAAAAACAAGAACAGTCTTTGTCCTGAGAGATAAATGGTCTGAAACGGAAGACAAATAACTAAAGAGATCATTATAATATAAACGTGATAAGCAATACAAAGGATAAAAAAGGGCTGAGGGAGCAAAGGGAAACAAAATGTATGAGAAATCAAGAAAGTCTTCTCTAAAGAGATATGACATTAGACCTGAATCAGAAAGAATTTAAGAGAAGAAAAGAGGAATATAATAGAAAATAGTAACCACATGGACAAAAGGACTTAAAGCTAAGAAAAATAATTAGCATACTTAAGTAAAAATGTTTCTTTAAAAGTATAAAGCTTTGTAAACATACTAACCAACACTAAAATGTACACTTTAACAGGTTGAAGGTTCGATACCCAATAGGGGGCATGCAGGAGACAGCTGATCAATGATTCTCTCTCATCACTATGTTTCTATCTCTCTACTTCTCCCTTCGTCAGAGGTCAATAAAAAAAATATACACACACACACATATAAAACAAGGATGAAATTAAAGACATTGATTTTTGTGTGACAATTTTCTCTGATGAACAAACAAAGCAAAAAGTGGAAGCATAAAAGGAGTATAAAAAGGAGATTAATTTAGGATTTCTCATAAAGAAAACAATTCTTTAACAGTCACATTTAGTGTAAGATATGGAGTAAAGCTAAAAAACTATGAACATGGTTTTCAATATCTTCCTATGTTGCATCAGTCAAAAATAGTAGAAAACCATTTTATAAGATTTAGTATAAACATATTTACTACAATCAATGACAGCTCTTACAATACACTTTACATAGAAACCAAAACTTTATTTCCAAAATCATCATTAGCCATGCTGGTAATAACCAGAGCACTTATAATCAACCGTCAAAGGTCTTGTAATCCTCCCCACAGAGGTCAAATTTTAATGAAATACACTTGGTATTTTCTCGAAAGACAAGCAACAGTTTGGCACCAAATATATAATCACAATGACCAAGTCAGGTGTGCAGAGTCCCCAGGACAGACTTTATTAGAGTTCAGTTATAAATATATAATCTCTTGACATTGAAGATGTAGTTCTTGCAGATAAGGCCCAAAGGCAGGAAATGAATCTCCTCCCAAATGCTGCTGCTTATCTTTAAAGTAAACTCAAATTATTACTAAACTAATAAAGTAATTTTGTTTCAGAGAGTGATCTGATCTATTTTATAAATTCAAAAATGAGATTGAGGATTATTGCTTTTTGTCTGACTACACAGACCAACACATGAAAATAAAGAACTTCTTTAAAATGATTTTTATGGTAAAGTTAAATTAGGCAATAGCAAAGTCTGTCAATATATGAGGAAGATGGATATTGTTTTGGAAAAATAGAAAGCTAATTTTTAAAAAAATGTATTTTTATTGATTCAGAGAGGGAAAGATAGAAACATAAATGATGAGAGAATCACTGATCAGCTGCCTCCTGCATGACATCCACTGAAGATTGAGCCCACAACCCAGGCATGTGCCTGGACTGGGAACCAAACTGCGACCTCCAGGTTCATAGATTGATGCCCAACCACTGAACCTGGCTGGACCAAAGCTAATTTTTTAAACAGCCAATTTTAAGGTAAAGCTTTTTACTATCTTCTAATCAGAAATAATCAGTTAAAAATGAACAACTGGGTGCACTGAGATTGTAAACAAGTAAAATAAAAAAAAGTATTTCAAAAATATAATTATGGTCACCCTGGCCAGTGTGTCGCAGTGGTTGGAGCATCCTTTTGTACATCAAATGGTGGCAAGTTCAATTCCCAATCAGGGTACACACTTGGGTTGTGGGTTCAATCCCCCATCGGGGCATGCCAGAGGCAACTGATCGATGTTTCTCTCTCTCCCTTCCTTTTCCTAAAATCAATAAAATGTGTGTGTATGTATGTATATATGCGCATATATGTGTGTGCATATATATATTCCATAATTTTATATGATCATTACTGCCTTCTTTATGGAATTAAAAAAAAATGAAGTTTATTTATAGAAACTGTTTCTAATGCAAGGGCTAAAACAGGCACTTCTATGTAAAGTATATGGTTAAAAAAAAAAAAAAGTTGATCATTTCTTTCAGTATTTGTGCTTTGTTGCAATCTCATTTTCTCAGTCCATTTCTCAACCCAAACCTGCTACACTCACATTCCTTCCAACATAGTAAGTGGCAATTCTTCATGGAATTTTTCTAATATAATGGCCACAACACAAAATGGAGATTAAGATTCTATTTTAAAAGTTACAAAAAAAGTCAGGCTACCAATTATGAGTGTCAAACACAAATAGAAATTTTCAGATGACTAATGAAGGTGACAGTTATTGCATACAGAGTATACTTTTATTATAGCAACATAGCTACCATTTGTTACACTTCTACTCTGTACTATGTGCTGTATGATAGTCTATCTCTAATCCTTAAAATAAACTTTTATTAGATATTTATAAAATATTTTAAGATACATAACTGAAACTGAGATGTTAAACAAATCACTAAAGTTCTTAAAGGTAGAAAAACAATGCAAAGCTTCTGACTTAAACTGGCAAATTGATATGCTCAAGTCTCCTCCTCCTCCAAACCCTCAAAATGACAAAAAATAAATCCATAATCATGCTAGCAAATAAGGGTTATTTTCTTTTTTTAAAAAAAAAAATATATTTTTATTAATTTTTTTACAGAGAGGAAGAGAGAGGGATAGAGAGTTAGAAACATAGATGAGAGAGAAACATTGATATGCTGCCTCTTGCACACCCCCTTACTGGGGATGTGCCCGCAACCAAGATACATGCCCTTGACCGGAATCGAACCTGGGACCTCTCAGTCCGCAGGCTGACGCTCTATTCAGTGAGCCAAACCGGTTTCGGCATAAGGGCTATTTTCAATGGACTGGAACTTGAGGGAGATAAAAGGCCAAGAAACTAAAATGCCCACAGAGGATGAATGTTATAAAAAGGTGGGAAAGGTTCCCAGAGCACTACATGTACCGAGTTAAGTGACACAAAGAGCAGAAGACAGAGAAGATATAATAGATTAATTGGTATTTGCAGCAATGAAAGTGGATCTTTATATATTGCCTTTATGAGAAAAGATACATAGCCGATTTCATCTCTGCTCTTAGTTAGAAATGTAAATACAGGATTAGAGACAGAAATCAATGGAACAGAATACAAATTCCAGAGAAATGGATCCGCATAATGTATGGAAATGTAATACATAATAAGTGAGCCATTACATCAGGGGAAGACACATAATGATAGTTCTCTATCATACTCAATATCCCTCTTTTACAGAAAGCATTTGTTAATATCTTTTATCTATACTGAAATGAAATACATACACAAAAATTTTAAAATTATATATTTCTTCCTTCTAATCCATTTTGGATACACACAAACAAACACCTAAAGATATAAAAGGAAAGCAACTTATATTAGAATAATATACACTGTATTTCAACATGTAAATGCTCGACCATATTAGAAAAAAGTAAATTCTCAGATTCCTCTACCGTGTAGACGCACTGTAACCACCATTAATGCTAAGATACATTTATGATGACTGCAGAACTGGTGAGTCAAACACCACAAATGAAAATTGGTAACAGTGACCCAATTTTCTTAAATGGTAAACAAACTCTTGGTAAAGTTCTAACAATGTAAGATTTTCCCTCAATCTATAAGATAGTCAAATTAGCAGGAAATTTAGCCTGCATTTTGCCAGGCAAAACAATATTTTTAAAGTTATTTTAAATATTATCTTATTAAAAATACTTTAATAAAAATAAAATGTGCGAAACATTTTGAGTTTCTGTGTAAAAAGAACTTAGATCCTACGCTCATAAAATTATAAAAAATTAACACTAACAGATATTAAAAATTTTATGATAAAAAAGTTCTTAGTAAGCTAGAAATAGTAAAACCTTACAGAAACATTACAATTAATTGTGAAATTTTATATAAGCAACTGTCATTAAAGTTAGGAACGAAACAACATTGTTTCTATTTATATCACTAGAGGGCTGGTGCCTCTATTATATCAATAGAGGGGTACATAGGGAGGCCCCTCAACCCATCCTGCACCCTCGCACAATCCAGGAACTCTCGGGGGATGTCCAATCTGGGACCACGAGCTCCTAACTGCGCACCTGCCTGCCTGATTGCCCCGAACTGCTTCTGCTTGCCTGTCTGATCACCCCTAACCACTCGACTGCCTGCCTGACCACCCCTAACCACTTCTGTCTCAGCCCCCACCACAGCAGCTTCGTCCTGAAGGATGTCCAGAAGGTCATTTGGCTGTCCGGTCTAATTAGCATATTATGCTTTTATTATTATAGTTTCTAAGCAATGCACTAAGACACATAGTAATGCAAAGATAAAGAAACTAGGTAATATAACTGAAAAAAACACACACAAAATTATTCTTATTTGCAGACAATATGATTGCCTACAAAAGAAATCCAAAAGAATTATCAGGCAAACCATTAGCACTACATAAGTATTAGCATGAATAAAAACCAGAAACATTCATACTAGTAATAATTGGAAAAAATTCCCTCATATATCAGCAACAATGGCTATAAGGTACCTAGAAATAAATTTTTAAAAAGATGTGAACTTTATGGGAGAATCTAGAGGCCTGGTGCACAAATCTGTGCACAGGTGTAGTTTGGCTGGCCCGCCCCAATTGGGAGGGGCTGAGGGCGGTTGGCCAGCCAGCTCCACTCCCCTTGTTGAACTTCAGGTAGAAGGGATAATTTGCGTATTAGCCTTATATTACATAGGATTATAAACTGTATTAAAGGATATGTAAAAAACCTGTACAAATAAAACAGAACCTATAAAAATGAGAAGACTGAAATATAAATTCTCTCCTAATATATAAATTCCAATTCCAATAAAAATTTCCCTACTGTTTTCTTTTTAAGAATTAACAACAATTAATTCAGTAAGAATTTTGTGGTTTTAACTTGTCCTATTTCCATCATCCCTTCCTGAGAGTCATGGTACCTAAAAACAACAGCCCATAAATATGGTAGAAATCAGCAGTCTGGCAGCCACTGGAGAGGGTTACGAGTTCCTTCAAAACAGCTATCCTGGAGAATTATTACTGGACCTCCAGGGTGGTTCCCAGGAAGACACCTCTCACAAGGCTATCTTTATTTGACAGAACTGACAAGTAAAACAGTCTTTCCCCTGAGGGGCGTCTGTCAAATACAATCAAAGACAATTGTTGAACACCAGGGCTGCCTGAGGCAGCGGATAACAGTTATAACAGCTGAGGCAAAAAATAGGCTAACCAAAAAGCTTTAAAAGTAAAGCTGAAGAATAAGCTTCTATGTAGTGGTTGCCAACTGGTGGTCTGCAAGGTCCGAAAGGTTGGCAACCACTGGTTTAAGAAAACCAAGGGTTTTGAAGGCTCTGGGGCTCATGAATGCAACAGACATACAAAGACCTTTATGCAAGACCTGAGATGGCCCTAAACTCTCCTTTGAACTTGAGACTGCGCAAGCAAGAAGTGAAGGCGAAGGCAAAATTATAAAATACCTGGCTGTATATTGAAGGCATGTCCTAACATGAGCAGAGCCCCTTGGTAGTCTGGAGACTTATTAGTTGCAAATATTTAGGGAAATTTCTGTCAAATTATTAACTGACCACTAATCTAACCAACAATAAATACAAACTAAGATTTAGTACAAAAAAGTCACTAACAAAAATTAAAAACAACAGCTCTTGCTGGTTTGGCTCAGTAGATATAGTGCTGGTCCAAGGACTGAAGGGTCTCAGGTTCCAGTCAGATCAAGGGCATGTACTTCAATTGTAGGCTAGTTGATGTGTCTCTCTCACATTGATGTCTGTCTGTCTGTCTGTCTCTCCCCTTCCCCGCTTCCACACTCTCTAAAAATCAATGAAAAAATATCCTCGGATGATGACTAACCATAAATAAATAAATAATTTTTTAAAAAAACAAACCATAATGAAATAGTTGTCCAGGGCAGAATGTGGGGAAGTAAACTGACAGCAAAGGGGCATGAAAGAACTTTCAGGGGAGAGGAGAATGCTCTACATCTTCAGTGGGTATATACATTTGTCAAAAGCCATCAACCTGTACACTTAAAAGCCACTGATTTTATTACATGTAAATTATATCTCAATTTTTTAAAAGGTGAACCATCTAGAATAAACTTTTTGATAGAACAAGAAAAAACATATTAAATTACCTACCTATGCTTTTACACAATCAGTAAAAACTGAAAGAGAAGCAATTTTTCTGACAGAACAAAGCCAGTACCAGTATAGCTGATGCAAAGGTCTTTTAGAAATATAGAAAATGACTTAAGTATTACATAAACACACACATGGGGCTGCATCTACAATAAATGCGGATTTCACAAGAAAACACTATTTTGGCTGCTAAAATATAAAATGTTCACATTATATATACTATTGATAGATGCCGGGTGTACAAAATCTGTGCACCGGTCGAGTCCCTAGGCCTGGCTGGCGATCAGGGCCAATTGGGGCCTTCCTTCATTCTGCGCCACCCCCTGGTGGTCAGCGTACATCAGAGCGAGCGATTGAGCTCCCTGTCCAACTCTGAGGGGACAATTTGCATATCAGCTTTTTATATATATATAGATAATCTTAGTACTATCTATGGTAACATTACACACTAATTATAACTGAGCAATTACATTTAGCAGAGACTGAATAACCACAAATGTAGTCTTCTAAGAAACTACTTTACTAATAAAACTTTCTAGGAAATTGGTGATTTCTCAATAGTTTATTTTCAGGGTGGTTTACAAAAACAATTTTGTTACATCAGTATTAGCTATCTAATAAAATGACTATGTAATTGCTTAAAAATAAGCGAAGTTCATAGCTTTTTTGGGGGGAGAATCAGATTATTCATATATCACTTATGAATAACATTAGTGGAGTTTCTTTATTCCTTTTGATAATTCTGTAAGTTACAATATACTCCAGATACACTGTATTGACAAATAATTAAGACAAGCAAAGACATAAAATTCACACTTCAATTTAAAAAAATATATATTTTCAACAATTTGGTAGAAAAACATAGGCTCCCTTACCTCATCATCATCAGAATCATTCCCAAACACTGATGGTTTTTGCAAAACAGGATGCAACTTCTGGGCTTTCTTTGGCAAAATAAGCCCATACCTGCATTTTTTTTTTGAAATAGAAATTATACCGTTATATTTAAATGTTAAGACATGCCTGTGAACACATAAGTTTCCGATCTTCAGACACCTCCAAGTTCTAATGTGCTAAGATTTTCTAGTTATTACTCTAAGCGATTATTTGCAGGCACAAGCCAAACTCAAATACCATTTTAATCCAAGAAGAGAAGTAACTGAAGAGTACAGGAATGATTTTGATGGCAAAATGATAATACGAAGGTTTTTAAAAGAACATGTTAGCCGGGACCGGTTTGGCTCAATGGATAGAGCGTCGGCTTGGGGACTGAAGGGTCCCGGGTTCGATTCCGGTCAAGGGCATGTACCTTGGTTGCGGGCATGTCCCCAGTAGGGGGTGTGCAAGAGGCAGCTGATCGATGACTCTCTCTCATCGATGTTTCTAACTCTCTATCTCTCTCACTTCCTCTCTATATGAAATAAATAAAATATATATAAAAAAAAAACTTTCTTAAAAAAAAATAATAAAAGAACATGTTAGTGGAAAACTCAGTTCAAGTCCATTAAAAATAAAAAATGCTCTGAATTATCTTTAGTCTAAAAATGCTCTGAATTATCAGGAAAATAAATCCCCCTGCCGCCCTACTGTGCAGCTACACAGTTCTAAAGAAGTTACTGATTGGATGATATCACCCATTTAAAAAAAAAAAAAAAAGATTATATTAACTGAAAAACCCAAGAAGTCATCGGATAGATTCTCATTACACATTAGTAAGCCTTTTGTATTGGAGCATCTGAGAGGACCATGCCATCAGAGCCAACTCCTTTAGTTTCTCACATTTTGGCCTTTACAGATGCAGCCATCACAGGAAGCCACATCGAAAGCACGGATTATAACATCAAACGTAAAACTTGTCAGGACATACAATACTTGTCTCCTACGGCACCGCACCCTCCAGTTCCCTATATGCCTACCCTCTTCTGCGGCTTCTCAGCACATTCCTAAACCCAGGAGGGATGGCGGGAGTCGGGACCTGAGCGGCAAGAACAAGGCCCTCTAAGGGGGCCAGGGATGGCCTCTTCTCACTGCCCCTGGAGGCATCCAAACCGGGAGAAACTCAAGCGCGGGGTAGGAAGCAAGACTGAGGGGCCTCAGACCGAGCTTTTGGAAAATAGAAAAGTCTCGCTCTCTGCCCCTCAGCCTAACTTCCTTTATTTCCTCACAAGTTTCTCCCTCAAAACTTCGGGCTTCCATCCTGGAAAATATAGGGGGAAGGGGGAGGGGAATGTGTTCCTCAGGATTCCTCGCTTCTCCCCGTCTCTATCCCTGACGATTCAGCCCCTTCACTCGCAGCGCGCTTTCCCTCCGCGGCCAAAGACACAGTCGCCGTGGTTTCTCCTTCCCCAGCCTAACCCTAACTCCCGCATCACACTCACTGCCTGCCCGGAGCCGCCATCTTGCTCCGGTCTCCGCTGAACGCGGCCGACGCCGACGCGACGCTGACGCAGACGCTGACGCAGTCACGTAAACTCTCGCGCGACTTCGGGCGTCCGGGAATCCGCTTAGCCGCTAAGTCGCTTTTGAAGTAGATTGGAACGCTGTGTGGGAACCTAGGTCTTCGGTCTTCGGTTTCATTTGGGAACCGGCTGACTGCTTCGAAATCACTGGGAAGAAAAGAATGGCACAATTCTAGGCCAGTGGTTCCCAAGGTGTGGTCCCGGGACCAGCAGGTTAGCATTATCCGGGAATTTGTTAAAAATGCAACACAGCGGGTCCTCTCCCAGAGGTACTGTATCAGGAACTCTGGAAATGATGAGTTCAGGATGAGTATATCGGGCCCCGGGTACTTTGGCAAAAGGTGGAAATCTATGTCCTCGTAGTGTCTCAGAACCAAATTGCTTAATAATACTGTAGTACCAATGGGTATAGGAATCAAGAGCATATACCTCTTTTTTTAAAAAAAAATTCTAGTCATGCCGAGACCGGTTTGGCTCAATGGATAGAGCGTCGGCTTGGGGACTGAAGGGTCCCGGGTTCGATTCCGGTCAAGGGCATGTACCTCGGTTGCGGGCACATCCCCAGTAAGGGGTGTGCAAGAGGCAGCTGATCGATGACTCTCTCTCATCGATGTTTCTAACTCTCTATCCCTCTCCCTTCCTCTCTGTACAAAATCAATAAAAATATATTTTAAAAAAAAAATTCTAGTCATATTCACTGTGCATCCACTCACTCTTGACCCATTCCAAACTAGTCTCATTGCAGCCGAAAAAAACCTTTCAATTTCTACAGAAGGATGTTTTAAGTCTGCATCTAGATTTGTCTATTTCTTTTCTTTTAAAAAAAATATATTTTATTGATTTTTTACAGAGAGGAAGGGAGAAAGATAGAGAGCTAGAAACATCGATGAGAGAGAAACATTGATCAGCTGCCTCCTGCACACTCCCCACTGGGGATTGTGCCCGCAACCAAGGTACATGCCCTTGATCCGAATTGAACCTGGGACCCTTGAGTCAGCAGGCTGACGCTCTATCCACTGAGCCAAACCAGTTTCGGCTATTTCTTTTAATAAGTTTTTGTTTTAAGTATGTTGAAACATTTAGGATTATTAAGTTCTCGTGCATTGACCCCTGTACCATTAAAAAATAACCCCCTTTTTACCTCCCCTGTAAGATCTTCATATTTATTCCAAAACAATGGAATCTGTTTTCATCAGTTTATTCTCTAGTAAAAACTGGACCGCAATGCCATTACTTTGACTTAATGACCTTCTCTCAAACAAGACTATGAAGGAAAGGCAATAATGGTACTAATGACTCGTTCAGATGCCCATATACATCTTTAACTTATCACAGACTGTCTTCACGTAAAAATATATCACTTCATGTATAGTATAAAACAATTTTATAGCCCTGGCTGGATAGCTCAATTGATTTGGATTGTCTACACCAGTGTTTCCCAAACTTTTGACATATGTGTACCCCTTCTATAATTTTCATAACGCTGAGTACCCCTTGTACTCATGAGAACGTAGAATTAGGTGCAGCTAAGCACGGTGCAGTGCATATCCCCAGCAAACTCTGGTGCAATGCGTACCCCCACCAAACTCTTCCCATACCCCTGGGGGTACGTGTACCACACTTTGGGAAACACTGGTCTACACCATACGGTGTCATTGTTACTTGTAAGCTATGGAGAGTCAATAAAAATCCAACTATTTTAGTCTAGGTTTCTGAATTAGAAGTAAATGTAAATAAATCGATAAATCTATATAGTCCAGCAATTTTCAACTGGTCTGTCACAAGGATTATTTTAAAAAAATATTTTTATTCATTTCAGGGAGGAAGGGAGAGGGAGAGAGAGAAAAAACATGAGTAATGTGAGAGAATCATTGATAGGCTGCCTCCTACATGCCCCCACAGGGGATTGAGCCCACAACCCTGGGCATGTGCTCTTGACTGGAATAAAATCCAGGACCCTTTATCCACTGAGCCAAACCGGCTAGTGCTGTCACAGGAATTTTTAAAACATGCAATATCTGACACTAAGTAGTCAACTGATGTGCTGCAGCACACACATTTTAAAAATTCCTGTGGCACACTTACTGAAAATCACTTATTTAAATATAAATCTATATCTATACTTTTGTTAAATATAAGAAATATCTTCACTAAAAAGTAAGTTCCATGCCTGACTGGCATGGCTCAGTGGTTGAATGTCAACCTATGGACCAAGAGGCCTCCATTCGATCCTGGTCAGGGTACAAGACCGCATTACAGGTTCCATCCCCAGGACTTGATTCCCAGTGTGGGGTGTGCAAGAGGCCAGCCAATGATTCTCTCTCATCGTAGATGTTTTTATCAACCAATCTGCTTTGCTGGTTGTTTAATTTTAAAGTAATTTCCAAACGCCTGAGTGCACAATTATTAGCCTAGAAAGGGTGGAAAGTATTAGGTGTCTGGGTGCTGGCAAGGGTAGTAACTCTTCCCTATTTCTTACTAGTTATTGTGGCCTAGGTAACTCACTCACTCTTAGAGACTTTCTCACTTATAAAATGGAGGTAATATTGAGACTGCCTACCTTACAGGCTATTGAGAGGATAAAATGAGCTATTTATGTGTAAATATTTCAAACAAGTTAAAGCACCATGCTAATATATTTCTTATCATTAGGCTAAATGCCCTTTAGTCAACTATTCCCAGGATAGTGGTTTAAAAGGTAGCATTTGATAAAAATTTGCCCTTCTTGCTGCCTAAAATACCATTTGTATTCACAGTGAACCCTTTATAAGCTGTTCTGAAGCCGTCAGGATATGGGGCTATCAGTTTAATATCTTCAAGAACCTTGTTCCTAGAAATGTTGCTGCAAAAGTCCTTAAAAGCTCTCTTTCTAATACAAAAGAGGCTTACCGGTTAAAACTGGGCATGCGATCATTCCAGAGATGAGGATTGGTAATAACACTGCCATCTTATCAGAAAAGGTTAAAAAGGGACCTCAAATTGTAAGATGTTTGGAACACCACATATTTTTTCAACCAAATAAAAAAAAATGAAGTTTAATTTCCCAAAATTTTATTAAAAATGGATTGTCATCAGATATTTTATTGCAAAGATGAAATCTCACAACAGAGTAGTCAAGTTTGCTGTACTAACAAACTTTAAATATAAATTCTTTTTGCAGTTCTTGAACTCGAGAGGTTTATGTTATTTTTTTGTGATGCATTTTAAAAAATGTTATTTTATTATTTAAAGTATTACAAATAGTAGTACATATATCTCTTTCTTTTCCTCCCATTAACCTCCCCTCAGTCTCCCTATGTTATTATCTTTTTAAGGTGTTTTCTTTTTTTCCATGAGTCATGGACAAACATTTTCCCACAAGGATTTCTATTCATTGAAATAACTTGTTACTAAAGTAAGCGCGTGTGTGGTGATGAGGGAGAAATGGTAGTATTCATATTAGTCCGAAAAATTAGAAAAACAATTCCCAGTCCATTTCTTAAAATCTTTATTATTTGGTACTCTTTTTTATGTAAAAATTGCCATTTTATTTTATAAATCTTCGGTCTTTACTTTGTACCTTAAAAGAATGAAAATAACTTCGTTAGTCAATCATAATAGTACCATGGCAGATATAAAACTGAAATTGAAAGAAGTTTTGAATATATTTCTACAACATGCATTTGTTTATGGCTACCTTAATTGTATATTTTTTTAGATCAAACTTCTCCTTAGGTAGCATTTTGGTTTTAAAAAGTGCAGAGGCAGCTGAGACCGGTTTGGCTCAGTGGATAGAGTGTCGGCCTGCAGACTGAAAGGACCTGGGTTCAATTCCGGTCAAAGGGCATGTACCTTGGTTGCGGGCACATCCCCAGTGGGGGGTGTGCAGGAGGCAGCTGGTGGATGTATCTCTCATCGACGTTTCTAACTCTCTATCCCTCTCACTTCCTCTCTGTGTAAAATCAATAAAATATATATTTAAAAAAAAAAGTGCAGAGGCAAGTGTCTAGGAGCAGAATATGTCTACATGTCTATTTTCTTCCAATTGAAAATATTTTATAGTTAACAAAACTGAATATAACAAAAGGATTCTAAATATAGCACCAATTCCATTAGCATTTACCTAGCAAGCTTGCACCTGGCATTTTTGCATACACTCTGGAGTCGGCCTTTGAAGGCAATGGGGGTATAATATCACTACGGAGTTTTTTGTTTAGTTCTATGAGAGCTAAACAGATATGTATCCAGTGGTATAGGTACTCCACGACTTTACTACGCGATTTCCACACCTCCATTCGGGAATGACCTGCACCAAAGGGGAAAAAATGTTAGTGTGAATAGTTTTGCACATTTTTAAATTAAAATATAAGTTCCAGTATTATGATGAAAGTTCGTTAGATATGTTTGGAGTAAAAACCATAGCAGAATCTTGTTTAAACATCTAAGGTTTTAAAAATGTTGGTGTAGTCATCTAATGAAATACTACACGGCATTTAACAACAATTAAAGAACTAGAACTATATATACCGTGTGGATAAATCTCAAAACATCATTGAGCACAAAATGTAAGTTGTAGGATAATATGTACTTTGGATACAATTTTTAAAAGTTTTAAAACCTGTAAAATAAAAATATATTGTTTATGGATTCATAAGTATGTAGTAAAAGTAAGAAATCATGCATAATAAATACCAAATTCATAACAGTATTATCGCTAGGGAGGAAGAAAATAGGATCAGGGAGGGATAGAAAGTCTCAACTGTTCCTTTAATGTTTTTTGTTGTTAATCCTCACTGGAGAATATTTTTCCATTGATTTTTAGAGAGTGGGAGGAAGGGAGGGAGAGGAAGAGAGAGAGACAGATGGACAGACATTAATATGAGAGAACATTGATTGGTTGTGTTCCATTCCCACCCCAACTGGGCTGTGATCGAACCTGTAACCCTTCTGTGCTCTCATTGACACTAATCATTGAAGCAACACTGGCCAGGGCCCTATAATGTTTTCTTTCTTTAAAAGCTCTGACTTGCCCTAACCAGTTTGGCTCAATGGATAGAGCCTTGGCCTGTGGACTCAAGATTTCGATTCTGGTCAAGGGCATGTACCTTGGTTGTGGGCACATACACATTAGGGAGTGTGCAGGAAGCAGCTGATCGATGCTTCACTCTCATTGATGTTTCTAACTATCCCACTCCCTTCCTCTCTGTAAAACATAAACAAAATATATATTTTTTTAAAAAGTCTGACTCAAGCACGCATAACATTAAGGTTAGATATAGAATATGGGTCCATAATGACTACAGGTGTTAGTCTCAAACTTCTATGTTTGAAATATTTAATTTAAAATTATTTTTAAAATATAGAATCACTACATACCATTAAGATTCATTTGTTAAATTGCAAACCATAAAACTGCCATTTATAAAAGTTACTTTTTCCCAGAAGTCAATGACTAATGGTCAGATAGAATAGTCTAATGGAAAGAGAATGTACTGTAGTGCTGAACAGATCTGGGTTCTAATTATTTTTTAAATATTTTTTTCATTGATTTCAGAGAGAGGAACAAAGAGGGAGAAAAGGATAGAAATATCAATGATGACAGAGAATCATTGATCGGCTGCCTCCTATACAGCTCCAGGCCTGTGCCCTGGGTTCATTGGTTGACATTCAACCACTGAGCTGCATCAGCCAGGCATGGCTTCTGATCTTGACTTTACCCTAACTAGTCTTGTGCCCTGGAGCAGATCACCTAATTGTTCTGGCCTGTGTTTTCTTCCACAAAACAGGGATAATACCTCCGAATTGTTATGAAAATTAATGAGAAAAGATATGTGAAAATGTGTCACAGAATAGTTGCTAAAAAAATATTAATTACCTTCTTTCAGATGCCTCCCATCCTCAGGTCTATGCCTAACCTAATAATGTTTGCTGATTTGAGTTGAATAAACCATAAATCCTATCTAATAAAGAGGTAATATGCAAATTGACCATCACTCCAACACACAAGATGGCCACTCCCATTTCGTCAAAGATGGCTGCCCCCATGTGGTCACAAGATGGCTGCCACAAGATGGCTGAGAGGGGAGGGCAGTTGTGGGCAATCAGGCCAGCAGGGGAGGGCAGTCGGGAGGGACCAGGTCTGAAAGGGAGGGCAGTTAGGGGCACCAGGCCGGCAGAGGAGGGCAGTTAGGGGTGACCGGGCCAGCAGGAGAGGACAGTTAGGGGCAATCAGGCTTGCAGGGGAAGACAGTTAGGAGCGACCAGGCTGACAAGGGAGGGCAGTTAGGGTCAATCAGGCCAGCAGGGGAGCAGTTAATCATCGATCAGACTGGTAGGGGAGTGGTTAGGGGGTGATCAGGCTCGCAGGCAGAAGTGGTTAGAGGCAATCAGGCAGACAGGCAGGCAGGCAAACAGTTGGGAGCAAGCAGTCCTGGCTTTTGAGAGGGATGTCTGACTGCCTGTTTAGGCCCAATCCCGGTGGGCAGTCAGACATCCCTCGAGGGGTCCCAGATTGGAGAGGGTGGATGCTGGGTGAAGGACCTCCCCATCCCCCGTGCATGAATTTCATGCATCGGGCCTCTAGTAATACTTATAATTGAATAAGAGGTTTTAAATATCTTCTCCTAGCCATAGCTCTTTTTTTTAAAAAAAATTGATTTTAGAGAGAAAGGTAGGGAGGGGGTCAGAGAGACAGAGAGAAAGAGAAACATGGATTGGTTGCCTCCCACTCAGGGATCGAACCCACAATCTGAGCATGTGCCCTAACTGGGAATCAAACTAGTGACCTTTTGGTGCATGGGACAGTGCTCAACCAACCGAGCCATATTGGCCAGGGCTATCCATAGCTCTTTACCAATGACAGTTGTACTTATGGATATCTATTAAATGAAAGACAACATATCTTACTTCCTTATCTTCTATCAACATGAGAAGGCACATAAAATGTGAAAATTCAAAAGTCTCAAAAAAAATTTTTAAACTGTAAAATGCAGACACAATGTTTTAAGTTCTAGAATTCTTTTTTAATGCGCGAGGCACGCACACACAGGCACTGTCTGCTTCCAATTATAAGTGTTCAATAAATGTTGAGTTGAAACAACATTCAATCATGGAGTAGTTAGGTTTTTCAAATATTAAGTCTTTTCAGATTATAACTCAGTAACATTAGTGACAATTATGAATGAAAACAAATGCTGGTCATGACAGCACATGAAATGTACCTGATTCTTCTCATGGGTAATACTAGACCAATCAACATACAAATGTACAATTTTGAAGTGCATTTGTTATAATCGATCCCTTTTTTGTATTTATTAGTTCCTGAAACAAAGTAATGCTATAGGCTGCAAAGATTACTCTGATTATCTTAGTGTTATGAATTTAATTTAATTAAATAAAAGTTCACCCCAGAATACTTCTAAAATCAGTCCTGATTTTTCTGACAAATAACAGCTCTCCTGCTCCCCACAGCTTTTATTCTCCCCCTCCTAAATCCCCATCAAGAGCTCTGTTTCTTTGATGCCTGCCACAATGTTCTTATCTGACAGCCAAATGAATACACTCCTATCTGCAACCATTATTAAGCCAGTCAGCCATCTCCATGGTGATTTGAGGACACGAGAATAGGGAGCGAGGTCACTCCCTTTCACAAGCCCCTGTTGCTTATTTCCTGTCTTGTTACCAGGGACAGAAGCTCCAAACCTGTCTGGGCCATAGTTTCTGTTTCCTGCTCTTTCCAATGAGAGACTGATGTATTAACAACTGGCTTTAATTTATTCCTCTAATGAAGCCCCCATTGCTCCATGGCATTGATTTTCAACCTTCTTCATCTCATGGCACACATAAGCCAATTACTAAAATTCTGTGGCACACCAAAAAAAAAAATTTTTTTTCCCACCAATCTGACAAAAAAAGAAAAAAAATTCTTTTGATTTATTCACACCTGAAAGCTATTGTGTTGGCTGTTGCCACTTTTTTTTTTTTATTTGACAATCTAAGGAAAAAGAGGTCAGTGCTCCTCACTAAATAGGTATTGCACGTTTTAAAAATTCTTGTGGCACAACAGTGTGTGGTAGCACCTGAAGGGGTGGAAATTGCTGCTGTGTGGGGTTAACAGTGGTTGAGCACTGCTGCTCTCTTGTGGTGGATAGATGCCAGATCTTTGCAGTAGTTTGCACAGATTTTACAATTCTTTCAAGCAGATATACTACTTTTTTTTTTTTTTTCCTTTTCTAACCATAAGAAATTGTGGGGTTTTTTTTGTTTGTTTTTTGTTTTGCTTTGCATTGGTAAGGGTTATAGTAAATAATTTGAAGACATCTGAGCTAAAATAATTGCTGAGACAAACTTCGAATCTGTTTATAAACCTATTGATTTCAAAACAGATTCAAGTTTAATCAAACTTTTAATTACAATAGGAAATGCATTTTGTTTAAAACAGAATGTTCTAATGAAATCTCCATTTATGGGTTTCTGCTTTAATATTGGATTAAGTTAAATCTTCTACTTTTTTTCTTGAGTTATCAAAGTTTGGGTGTAAGTTTATTCCAGGCTGAACACTGAGTTCTTGCATTAATTTTATTCCTATTGTAAGCACAACTTCTGTATAATATCACATGGTATTGGCTTTTTAAAATGATGTCGCCATAAATCAAATTACGTATAAATTGAAATCAATGCAATTTATCTTTATAAAAATTCATACTTTAATACAGTGGCTTTTAATAATTTTTAGATCATATCTTTCTATCCATAACAAATGTTGAACATGAGCCAAATATATGGATATCTATGTATAAATTATTTATTTAAAAACAGTAAAAAATAGAAATCCGACATTGATGGGATAAATTTATTACAAATAGAAGTCCTACACTTTTTTAAAAAAATATATATTTTATTGATTTTTTACAGAGAGGAAGGGAGCTAGACAGAGAGCTAGAAACATTGATGAGAGAGAAACATTGACCAGCTGCCTCTTGCACACCCCCTACTGGGGATGTGCCCACAACCAACGTACATGCCCTTGACCGGAATCGAACCTCCTGCACTATTTTCTTGCACTTACGTGGTATAGGTATCAGTTGTTTGTGCCTTTTGTTTGCCCCTTGTTGTTGGAGCTTAGTGGGGAAAGCCTACAGGTGTCTCAGTATACAGTAGACACACTCATACTCGCCCTGTTTTCACTCTCCCTTCTCAACTGTGTCTGATGTCCCCTAGGTCAGAGACTTTCTATGATACCTTTTCTGAGGAAAACATCTCTAGGGTTGGGGTGAGGAGTTGCCTAGCATGTAGGAGATGTAAAGA